CGCAAGCGCGAGGCTAGGACCCGCCTGCCGGGGCACCCGCCCATCCGCTCAGCCCTTAACTAGGACGCGTCCCGAACCTCAAACCTGCGAGACGCATCACAAAGAAGCGCGCTTCGCTCAGACCTTGAACTACAAGTCCCGGGATGCTCCGAGAGTCGGCCGTCCAATCAGATTGGGTACGATAGACTCCTGGGGCGCAACACCTTTTGGGAAATGTAGTTCTCCATTAGGAGAGGCGATGTGACCTCCTGTCGCGCCGCCATCAGGGAGCCCTGCGCTGCAGTTCCTTTACTCTCCAGGCCTTGGACCCACCCCATTTCTCTCCAGTGCGTCGGAAAACCCCAGAGAACATTGTCAGAAAAGTTGAAGGTTTTTTAAACGCAAAGCACTTTTAGGTTTAGATTCTGGGTTTATACCAGAGAGCAAGAGGAAGCCCCTTTGACCTTGCCGAAATCGAAGTTTCAATTTCACTCGCGGGCGTGCCAACTCAGGTGAGGAGCGCAGCCCATGCCCTGGGTACTGGGAGGACGGAGGTCGCTCGACCCAAGATCTTGCCCCTTGCTTTGTAGGGGATGCTTGTGCCCTATTGTGCAAGGTTGCATAGCAATCCAGTAGCAGAACCAGAAACAGAAACCTAAGGGGCGTGACTCAGGCTGGTATGCTTTTAAAGGCCAGGCGCGGGTTACCCGGGGAAAGACCTGGAGGTGGAAGATAGGCAGAAGATTCTTCCCAGACAACTGTAGGATTATTTACTAGAGTGTGAATCCTCCAAGCGTCGACATTTCAGCTTTTGCAGGAAGTACATGTAGTTAAAGTGGCTGTTGAGAATCACATTGTTTCTAACCAAATTTGGACAAATTTTTCTCCTCTAGATGAACTAACTACCTGGAGGGCAGAGCAAGGAATTTACAGAACCTTGTGTCCTCTTCAGTGAACACAGTGATTTGGTTTCCATAGGCACTCAGTGTATCTCATTAAATAAAATGGAATAAAAGACTAAAATAACCCTACACATTTTAATTAGGCAAGCAAAAAAAAAATCTTCATAATTTGTTAGAGGTTCTTTCCATTTTTAGAGTTGTCCAAACAGCATTGATAGAACTGGAACACATTAATACAAAGGTTATTACTCAACAATAAAAATAAACTCACCGTGGATGAAAATCACAGACCCAGAGATGGAATCTTTATGTTCAGGAAAATAGTAGAGCTGCCCTTCTAGATACAGATGACTGCACTCTCTCCAAGAGTGCTACATGGTACAAAAATAATGTTCTCTCAAATCAAGGCAAGAGTCAGAGAAGTTTAGCCTGTATTTAATTACAGATTTTGGAAGAAGATACCTTTCCTTAATTTGACCGAAAAAAAAGGAATTTATCCTAGAACAGTGATGGTGAATCTTGTAGAGCTTTCAATGATAAACAGCCTCCTATAGCACACATACTATAGGTTCACAACCACTGTCCTAGGGTATTCAATTTTTCTATCACAAAGTAAGCTCTGATTATCATCAAACATGCATTGAGTACCTGCCACGTGAAGGCATGATAAGGCCTTAGGGATAAATAGTGCAACCCTCTACTGCCAAAGCTTCCAATCTACTACAGGAGCCTGAAGCAGTAGACAACTGAAGTAAACAGTCCATAGTGAGGGCCTGTGGTGACACACGCCTGTAATCCCAGTGCTCGGGAGGCTGAGGCAGGAGGATCACTGTGAGTCTGAGACCAGCCTGGGCTACACAGTGAATTCCAAAGCAGCCTGAACTATATAGTGAGACCCTGTCTCAAAAAAAAGAGTCCACAGTGAGCAGAGCAGGTGACACTGTGATGAATTGACAGTAGGAAGTCTGCATGCTCCCAAGTGTGTAAATTCATGTCACCCACCAGACTTACCGATGAATGTGTAGGACTCCAGATCTCTATGAAAAGCAAGAAATGTGTATTATTTTAAATATTTCTTTCATTCACATGTATATTGCACGCAGTTCTTCTTCTCTTTTTCTGTTTGTTTGTTTGTTTGGTTTTTTTCCTCAAAAACCATACCCGCTGAGCTGTGAAATCCTTGAGGACACCCACTGCTCTGTAATTTCTTTATCCCTGGAGTGCTATTTTTGCAGACGCTTAAGTGCTACTGAATCCCACTTTAATCAATAAATAAGAATAATGAAATCAAGAGTTTAAAATTTGGAATGCAAAAAAAAAATGAACTTGGAATACAAATTAAAATTACCCTGAAATACCACTTGAATTAGAAAAAAAATACCCCATACAAGGTTTTTTGTTTTTGTTTTCATTGTTATTTTTTTCCCCACATAAAGTTTGACAATACACTTAGGTAGCAAAGCTATAGAAAAATATAGCTGGTATGAATATAAAAAGATACAACTCTTACACTGGGTAATTCAGTAACAATGCATGTTATTTGCCCTTTGGTTTGGAAATTCTAAGAATCTACCCTGAAGATATTCAGTATCTCCACAAAAACCAAAGCACATGTGGAAGGTTATTCTTTCAAGCAATTTTTGTAATAGAGTAGTGGGTGGAGCAGTTTCCCTTTAGCCTGGAGATAAATCCATGTCCTAATCCTCAGAAACTGAGACTTCATTGTGGGGGGAGTCTTTGTGGATGTAATTATGTTAAGAATCTCAAGATAGGATCATTCTTGATTACTGTATCTGGGTGGGTCTTAAATGGCAAGTGACCTTGGAAAAAACTGAGAGGACGAAACTCAGAAATAAAGAAGACTACACTGCAGCCACACGCCATGGGACCCCTCAAGCCACCAGAAACTAAGAGGCCAAAAAGGATTCCCCAGGAGCCTTCCAGAGGGAGCTGAAGACTGCCGAAACCTGGATTCCAGGTGAGAAAATACATTTCTATTGTGTTAAGCCACATGGGGTGTGGGAATTTGTTGCAGTTGCCCTAGAAAATGAGTTCTGCCAAGTACCAGAGAGAGCCCATGTGGTTGTCTAGCAGGATTTGGTTGGCTATACTACATCCATGCACTTTGTTTTGTTTTGTTTTGTTTTGTTTGAGACAGGGTCTCCCTCTGGCTAACGTTGAACTCAATATGTAACCTATACTGGCCTTAAACTCACAGCAATCCTCCTGCCTCAACCTCCCGAGTGCTAAGATTATAGATGTGCATCAGCACACCCAGCCACACATGCACTTCTAAAGAATCTGATTAAATCCAGGACACCTACAATGGTGCTGTGCAACACTGCATAGGTGTAAAAAAAAAAGAAAAGAAAAATTTTCCTGTACACTGCCTTGACTGAATCTCCTTCATAAACTAAATGTAAGAGCAATAGATAAAATAACATGTATTTATGTGCTTATTTTTTTCTAAAAGAAACATTTTTATAGTGCCCACCTAAAAGGCATGCAAGCTGGAATGGAAAGAGGTAAAATGGGGTCCTCTGAGCACATCTCATTGTTTTCACTTTTGAACTGTTTTAATGTTTCACATATTCAAAAGTTATGATAGAAAAATCAAGCCTGAAAATTAAAAAAAAATAAACAAAAATGACTAAGCCCAATCATATAGGTAATTGGTAATAAAATTAGATAGAGAAAATTATTTCAAGTGACTTTTGAAAGCAGCATTCCAGCCAGGTGTGATGGCTCACACCTATAATTCCAACACTTAGGAGGCTGAGGCAGGAGGATTACTGTGAGTTCAAGGCCAGCCTAAACTGCAAAGCAAGACCCTGTGTCAAAAACAAACCAAAAAACAAAACAACATTCAGTTGTACCTTCTTAGAGGTATACAGTCTAAGAGCAAAAGGATCTATATGGAAATAATTATTTTAGGAACCAAGCTTTTCGGTATAAGAGAAAAGAAATACACAAATACCAAATCAAGGTAATTAAGTAAAAACTGTGTAATATTAACTTTTACTAGCAAATATCAATTTGAATTCAAGACTTAAAAATTCATTTGTGTGTCAGGATTATACTTTTCTATACAGTTAGGTAGTTGTTCCAGCAGTATTTTTGTTTTTTGGGTATTTTTGTTTTGTTTTGTTTTGTTTTTTGAGACAGTGTCTCACACTTTGTAGCTGAGATTTACCTGGAACTCACTATGTAGCCCAGGCTGGTCTCGAACTCACAGTGATCCACCTGGCCTCTGCTTCCCGAGTGCTGGGATTATAGGCGCGCGCCACCACGCCCAGCTTCCAGCAGTATTTTTAAAATAAATTTCCTTTCCTACAGGGCATTAACATGCTGTCCGATCAATTTTCAATCAAACCCATGTGTATCTATTTCTGCGTTTCCCTGTTTTGTTTCATTGATGAGTTGTTTAACTCTAGGCCATTGCCCCACTGGCTTGACTCTTGAGTGCTGATCTCCTCGTTTAAAATAATTGTGGCTACCTAAATTCTTTGCAGTGTTTTA